TTACGAGCCGGATGATCGAGGGACCGTGGATCATTTAATTTAATTACCTCGCGGGGGTTAATAGAAGAGATAAAGGTGGCTGCACTCGTGCTGGATATTATACACCGTGGCCGAGTGTCGCTCTACAGAACCCTCCAAAAATAAATCCTGCCTTTCTGACAAATGCGGGCAGTGTTCCCTCCCCTCCTCTCGCCGCCGTCGTTAAAAACTTTTTTACCATTATTTCACTCCGAATAAAACATTGGATGCGATGTAGATATGAGAACGATCTTTACGTATACTTAAATTCTTATTAAAACGAGAATTTTGCGAAGTGAATAATATTCTATAAAGTTCCAGTTTTTTTTTTTTTACGCTTCTTGCACTTAATCGCGAACAAAACGATTTTATCTTATATAAGAATAATGTTTTTGCAAAAATAAAAGGCGCGGTGTATTATTCAAAAAATGACATATTATATATGAAAGTTATAAGAGAGAGAATAATAGAAATTCTTTCTGTGTGAATGTAAGAATGTGCTAGAATATTATGGTCTGCGTCAGGCTGACTTTCGTTCCAGGAGTCAGCGGCGATTTAATTTCATAAACCGCAACTGTTGCCTCTCTATTTGGTTCAAAAGGGAGCGCGACTAATAGTTATTATCCCGACGTCAAATTCTTAATCGAGTTTTTCCCTCCCATATCCCTGGCTGAAATTGACGTCTACGGTCGACGTTCGATAATGTTCGACGCGTCCATCGTTCATCGCAGCGTTATATTTCATATTACTTAGAGAATTATAAAAGAGGAAGCTAAGAACAAGCTTAGACACACCCTATTTAATAAGCCGCTCCTCTAACAGTACGAATTCTTCGACTAGTTCTTGCGACATTCAACGCTTTGAAAGCCTACTCGATTAATTTAGACGTCATCTTTAATCCAAAACCCGGCCTCTCTACCCGTACTCGGTGTGCTCATTTTAGTTTCTCCTTCAATAATTTCAACGGACAGTCGTGTTAACGATATCCCGATGATACGTCGGGACGGAGGGAGAAGGGTGAGGAGGAGATAGTTTAACGGGAGAGGAAGAGCGAGGAGGAGGACGGTTCGGTGTGCCGCGCGGATGTCTCCAGCATTGTATGCAGATGAAGAAGGCAGGGCGACAATGACTCGGGACGACGTCGAGGTCCGTTCGTCTTGAACCGAAAGAAACCCATCCGCCACGAAAGGGGTGTCGCGGGGCCCAGCGGAGGGCACAAGAGAAGGAGAGGGCTGCCTGCTTTGGCTCGTGCTTAACATCGGCGTGTTCTCCTTCGGTACCTCCTTCCAGACACGCTTATGTACTACGCATCCATACATTAACATGTCATCATCGTGTAGAAACCGAGCTGATCGAGGTAAACCTTCCTTTCCTCCTCCTACTCGTCTCCCCACCCCCCTTCCTCCTTTCCAAGCAGCTTCGTTCAAGACTCAACTCAAAGTTAAACGTGCCATCGTCATCAGACGCAGGACGTGACGCCTTCCTGTAAAGATTTGCCTCTCAAAAAGTCTCCTCTCGCGCGAGGATTCAGCCGGTACGGCCTCTTCTTCGTGGGCGTTTCGTTTGCTTGCACTGAATATCGCGAGCAATTCGTCACGGAAATTCGTGCCGGGCCGTTTTATAGACGGAATAATTACCTTAGAAACTTGTCTGTGTGAATGCGTGCGTGCATATATATAAGTGTGCGTGTATACTCGTCGACGATGTTCTTTTTTGCGGCGACCGGTCGATTTGTCTGGGACGAAGTCTATCGCCGTTATCTATATATCCTAAACTTTCATAAACGCGAGTAATATCCCGGATCTTTTTCAGAATCCGAGATTACACATATTAAAGATCTATTAAAGATAATTATTATCATTGACGATAATGGTTCATATTACTGTGAATTTTCACGCTACAAATACATACTTTATAATTTATTTTTGTCTTTTTCACACACGACAGGGAAAATAATGGACACGAGAAAACGAAAGACCGTTGAGTGACAAGTTTTTTTTTTTAGCGGGATAAAACGGGTAGCGGAATCAAACCTTGGAAAATCGTTTACGAGAGAATTTCGGAATCGCGAAGGGAGTTCGGGCCATTCGAGCCGGTCGATATGACTCCGGGGGTTGTTTGGCAGATACACGTACACACAGGTACGTACCCGGCGGCCCTCGCAGCGGAAAAGAGGTATATAGACGGGGGCGTCGGTGGTGGTGATGGTGGCGGCGGCGGCAGCAGCGGGGGTGATGGTGCAGGAAGGGCTGGATTGGTAAACCGGTCACGTAATGCACGGCGATGAATGGACCCGCCGAGTCGAGCCCAAAGCCGGGAATTGGCTACTGGGCATACCACCGACCATCTACCCCACTGCGTTAGAGCTTTAGCCACCCCACGGCAACGTAAAATTACACAAAGAGGTGCTCAAACCTGAGCTATCTCGCGTATCTGCCGTCACGCGAATAGAGACGGATCGCGACGGTTCGCCACGAAAATTTCGGACGCAACGTGTGTTTCATGGAGAAACGATCGACGTTCCATGTAATCCAACGTCATTGATCGGGATTCTACAATAAAATGTACGGAATCATATTTATTGACTGAAATTATTAATGTGACTGAGCCGCTTTATATAATGTAAAATTGTAGACTTATCATTATAAAAAGGAGAGAAATCTAAATTTTATTATTGCTATCTGTAAATCTTTCTAGAAAAACGCAATCACGCGATCTAGTAATTAATCATAATTAAAAAAATTTATATTTGAGAGCTACCAAAATACTGGATCAGGCATTGTTATTGTACATGCCAGAAGCGTCTGCCTCATTACGTCAGCTTTAACGTCAGCTTCTCGTTAAATGCAGAATTATATAGCGACGCCCGTCTATTTCGTGGCAGTTTACGCATAAATGTGCATAATGAAGACATGCAGTAAAATATATATACTCATGTAACTTTCTTAATATATAAAAACCTCCATATTCAAATAATTCTTTTGCTCCTTTTGAAACATATTAGTCTGCGCAACGTCAAGATGCAGTAAATATCACGTATAATCGCGCAAAGTCAGGCGTTTGATGTTACGTAGCACGATTACGACTACGTCAGCTCCAGTCGGCTCGCTTAAAACCATAAAAAGGGTGCTCAAACCGAATAGCCCTTGCTCTAGAGCGAACGATGTGCGATATACCTGCGCGTAAGCTATAATAGCTCACCGCGATTATTACATATCTTCCTCTATTAATACAAGAAACTAATCTTGTACATTAAATTACACAGATTTAATAAAACGAAAGATTTTACTTACCGATATTGATGTGCCGCTGATCCATGAATGACCAGTTTGACGAGATTTTGCAAGGACGACGTTATTCGTAATCAAGATTCCATTTGCGGAATTCTCTCGGGCCTGGCTCCTCGTTGTCATCATCATAGAAATCGTTCTCCCAGCTCGGACATGTCATCGTATGAAGACCGAGGTGCGTACCCCTGCGCGCGTTACTCCTGGACCCCCTTATGCAATCTAAAGCAAGCCTCTGATCTGCCATAAAGTCATTTCATAACCCATCCCGAGGGTTAAGTACCCCTCGAGTCCCAAATCCCGAGTTAAGCACGAACCCACCGAGAGCTTCAAACTTTCATGACACGATCTCTGGCCTCTTTCCTCCCTCGTTCCGCTTCTTGCCTTCCACGGCGTTATCTTTCGACAATTAAAGCTACAGGAACGATACTCGCTGAAAAGTTGGGCGAGAAGCGGCGCGGTCGATTATTTCTGCGAGTTGCGGTGATGCCTTAATAAGCTCGCTTAGGCTTGTCTTGATGATATTGTATATAAGTATATTTCTGTATTATTAATACGTCATGAAATTTAAATTTTTTTAAATAGAAATAAGGTTAAAAATTTAATAAAAAACTAAATATAGTACCATCTTTAATATTAAGATATATCTATTACTATAGAAATCTCTTATTAGAATATATAAAAAATATGATGATAAAATATTATTTCTTCAAAATATTGACATATCCTTTGTAGATAACGACGCATTAATTTTCCGATTCGACAGATAGCGCAGTTGAGATTCTCATATCTACGATTGATCTCTCGACGCTGGCGTCCAACTTTATTACGCAAACTCGAGAAGCTAAATAAGACTGTGCATAAATTATAGGCCGCCTCGTAACGCGTACGCGACGCAACGAGTTTCCTGGTAGCTCGAGGCGAAGAAAAAAAAAACACGGTGACACTTGCGTCGGAATTAAAAAGTAAAAGCTCGTTATAAATCAAACGCCTTGTCAGCGGGTGTGGCGGCCGGCCTTTAAGCTGCCGCGGTGGAAAAGGGCGAGGGGAGGTGGCGGCGTGTCCGGGGTGGAGAGGCGAAAACCCTTTCGTTAATTGCGCATCGCAGATGCCGGGCCGTTGCAGGCGCTCTTTACGAGCCA